GCATGTGCAGAATAAATCAAATCTGGCAATCACCCTAGCCCAACCCACAAGAACTGCCCAGATTTTTCTTCCATGTCTTAGAAAAAAAAGACCTCTCACTTTCCCCTCTCGCATCTGTCCTCTTCCACCTCAGCTGGCAGAACTACTTCATGAACCTTCCCTGACCCTAATATCTTCATTAATTTCCTTACTGCATCTACATCTTCCACTTGGATTTTATCCATGTAAGATACAAGTATCTTGGTGTGTCTGAGCTGAGCTTCCAGAGATTGCTTGGTATAGCAGAAGATCCATGTCCTTTACCTATAGATACTATGCAGAGAGACATTATCATATATGAGTAACAGCTTTTATAATATTGTCAAGAAATATGCATAACTCACTCTTCTAATAGCATCAACTGGCCATGGTAAGTGGTTTCTGTAATGATTGCCTGCCCTGCAGTGAGAACATGATACACATAAAGTACCCTTCTTCATCTACTGATATGAAGAATTTGGATAACTGTATCAACCTTTGTCTACACAAAGCCCCATGTTACCCAAGGGACTGGCAGAGGCCCAAGCACAGAAGCAAAGGCAAATAATTCAGGGTGGATTCTCAGTGGTCCAGTTCACAAAAGGATTCAAATGAAGCCTGCAACATTGGCCATGAAAGACTTCTGTCCTTTCCTTTAAAAAATTGAAACCTAGCACTGGCCCTCTTTTACATGTGGATGCAAGTGCTTGCAGACTTTATTTGGAGCAGAAAGAGGCTCCATCCACAGAGAGATTTACCCTGGAAAAATAATATTTCTCCAGAGTCATCTTATGTAGAGTGGCCTCCACTGTCTTCAGGTCTAATCCCACACTAACCACCGTATCTCTCCTTATTTAGTGAAGATTAATATTTGAATTGTTTAAATCACCCTAGGTTCAAAATAGATTCAATATCATGACTATTTATGTCAAGCCTTAACTTTGGACTTGGTAGATAAAAATTTATTATGACTGTGATGATTATTATGATGAAAGGGAGATGAATATAAACCTGGTCTTTAACTCAGGTCATTGGAACTTCCCACGTATCTTGGGTAGGCCCCTTTTAAATGTTTACTATGGTGATGTCTTCCAAAAAGCAGGTAATTTAACAGCTTCTGCAAGCTACTTTAAGAGTGTAAGCAAGGTGGACTGGGAAAAGCATGACCAGACAACAATGACCAACATGATTGTCCTCATCCATAAACTTTAATCAATATGCTTCTATTCCCTGATCATCACTCAATGTAGACTCTATCAGAAACATAGTAAAAGTTCTATGTATAATTAGGGACAAGATGAACACAACACAGGACTGAGTCCAGGACTTGATGAAAAACACACTTAAGACTGAGTTCAGGACAAGAGTCCAGGATAAAATAACCCAAGGCTCACCATCCTTCATGACCATGGTCACAGGTATAATGTCCATAATCATATGGATATAAGTCCATAAGACTGTCAGTGCAGGGAGTTTGCTTGCTCCAGTCACACCTCAATCCCCTGCAAAATGCACTAGTTTGTAACATTATAGCAGCTGAGGGACTAGGTAGTAGGAAATTTTCAGCTCCATTGTAGTCTTAGGTGACTATGGCCTTACGTGTAACCATCATTTACTGAAGCTCTGTTATGTGGCACATGACCATGACAGCTAAATGATTATGTCACAATGTGGACAGAAGCATGGATGATGAAGGAATTCTGATGACAGCTCAGATGGAAATGAGCAACAGGCTCGTGGGAACTAGAGGACAGGACATCCTTGTGTAATGTGTTACATGGCATGGCTGAAGTGTGTTCATGCCCTCCTTTGCTGTGTCAGAAGTTAAGGCAGTGAGACAGGACATGTGACAGAATAGATCTCTAAATACAGAGTAAGTGGATGATATCACTTCCCCTGACTTCTTGTTAAAAAACAATGAAGAAGAGAGAAACAGGACAAGTACGGAATTTAAAACCAAATGGAAGTCAAACTTACTTATTTGGAAAGTCTCAGCCTGGCCACATTGTAAAGAATGGAGAGCAGGGAGATCTGGATTGGTTAGATTATCAAGGCCATAGCCAGAGGAACTTGTGATGAGATGACTGGTGTGGACAGAAGGTAGCTAGGTGGTGTTCATGTGGATAATGGAAGAATGACCCAAAGGCTTTTCAAAGGATGTCACTCCATTGCAGAAACACAGTACAGGATAGCGAGTGCAAGACAGCATCTTAGGCAACACAGAGCACTTGCATGGATTAATGGTTCACTGAACCATGAATTCAACTGTAGTTTCTGTCTCACACAATCCTGTACAATTGCACTCACTCTCCCCTGGTGACATTCCAGTGTGTCCAGGTACAGTGTGGGATTTGACAGTTTTCCCTGCAGAGGGCAGAGTCCCAAAAACTTGGTGGTGTCTATCTGGTGCTTACTCTGCTGGTTACAGTATCCTAGAGTTGTGATGCAGGGAAGCCTCCATCTAGATTTAAAGGATTGCCATACAGCATTGGGCCATGCAGAGAATCACTGTGAGGGGGAGGCAGTGCAGAAAGCCTCCATGGAGACAGGGCCTGCACAATTGTGGTGTAAAACCCTGTCCAGGGAGTCTCAACAGGAAAAATCTGTAGAGGCCATATAGAGGTGGTATTTCTGCTCTGAAACTAGCCCTGTAGATGCTTCATTATGCAAAATAAGCTATAAATTGCTGAGGAAACCAGCTCACATTCATGAGGCTCCTGAGCCAGGTGTACAAAGGTGAATATGGGTAAGCCTGCCCTTGATTCACATGCCTACTGCAGTGTGACCAACTGAATTTAAGGATTTTACAGGACTTGCTATCCATCTCTTCTTTCACATCATCCATTTTGGAATGGGGGTGTCAACCAAATGCCAGGGGTGACATATTCCTGCAGTCTCTATCATATTTGATTTAATATAAAGTTTGTACATTTTATTAAACTTAGGTTTTATAGTTGATACTTGAACAAGTTCCTTTGTGACTATTGCAATGGAGGAATTAATTTAATATGGAAAATGGACATGAATTTTTGAGGTGCATTGTGGTAAGCTATGTTTTGTGCACATACAATCTTCAAAGCTCCTGTTTGTAACTTAATCAACAAGGTGACATTCACAGTTTTTTCCTATAAAGGATATCTGACTTCTTAAATGGAATTAGTATTCCTGTAACAGGATTATGAGAGGGAACAGACCTCTTCTGTGATCTTCTAAATGTGAGGACTCAATGAGTCTCACTTCTGCCATGTAGGTCACAATGTGTAAGATCTTTCAGTATAGCAACAAACATGTACAAAGACCCCCTGCATCTGTAAGCCATGGAACCCTCACACACTGGTGCCCCAGCACACTTTCTCAGCTGTAATACATCAACCAAGTCCAATGTAACCTTCACCCTGGTGTCTGGTGACCTCTGCCTCAGGGACAGAACACATTACTGCTGTGGAGTGTAGGAATTGAGAACAGGGCAGTGTTGTGAAAGGCCCAAGGCAGAGACCTGAGTCCAGGTTCCATATATCATGTATGTCTTCTTGTCCTGGGAAGTCTGGAATCCCGGCAGATAGTGTAGTATAATATTCTTTTTATCTTTGCTGTCAGAATAGAAGCATCTTTTATCAGATCTCTACAACTGCAAGCTAAATAACACCTCAATGTGTAATAAATAGAAATATAAAAAGTAACTCAACACCCAGGAACAGGCCAGTTGACAAAAGTTAATAAAGTGTTTCGTCTATGGGAAAATTGCTGAGCATAAAAGACATAAATGACTGAGCCCCACAAGTATGGGGGATTTTGATAAACATTATTATGTAAACACACAAAACAATTAAAACTGTACACGGTAAATGATAGTTGTATACATTTTGAAAAATGAAAATTAATCTAGCACAACACAAAGAAGGTCATGAGCTGTCTGGAGATAGAAAAAGAGGAGGGAAAGGTTGGACAGGGATTACAGAGGAACCCAAGGACACACTTGGGGATTGAATATAGGTTCCCCTTTTTGTAGTGATGGTGAGCAAGTTTCTATGATGGCAGCATCATCAAACATGCTTCCTATAAAAATGCAGTTCATTACACCTGTGTAGAAACACAGTAAGTTTGCTAGGGAGACAACACATCTGAAGATAAAAAATGTGACTGGCAAACAAAGGCATGAGATGTCAGAGAATAAAAGTCCTGCATCTGACTGAAACTTGGTTCTCTATATTTTTTAAACCTAGAACGCAGGTATGACACACTTGTGATCATCACAGAAAGGGGGTTGTGCACTCCTCACCTGGTGTGCTTCACTCTGATAAGGAGCATTGTTGTGGGTCGTTGAAGTCATGAACTCCTGTACACACAGCACCAACCAATGTGATTATGTTATACTTCCACATATTTGAAAAGAAGATAAATTAAATACTTATATGTTTTGGGTTCACAGAAAAATTAAGACCTATTGTTCATAATGCTTATCAGTTACATAATGAGACTTCCTGTTTACTGTAGTTTTGTTTAATGTATATTGCACAAATGGGTTTCATTCTTCATTTACAAACATGCATATAATGTGTGCATGCATGTATGAACAAACTCACCCCATCTATTACAGTTCCTGATTAGCCCTTCCTTGTTTTTAAACAATTTTAAAACAGTTTAATTTTTCAATGTTATATTACTTTATCTTCATACATGTCTGCAAAGTACTTTAATCATATCCATCCCCCAAGGTCTCTGTCCTTTCTCTTTCCACCTTGACTGTTTCCCCACTAAATATTCCCTTTTCTTTCTTTAATGCAGGCATTGTCAGACTCTCTACAAGGATGGTCAGATCTGCTTTGGACTCTGGCAATACTGAATCTTCCACTCAGAGCTTGCTATATAGCAGGAGGACATGCAAATAAGGCCTCCCTCTGCTCATGATAACCAGCCCAGCCCTGACCCTGTAGCTCTGGAGAGGAGCCCAGCCCTGGATTCCCAGCTGACACAATTCAGTGATCAGCACTGAACACAGGCCACTCACCATGGAGTTAGCACTGAGCTGGCTTTTCTTTGTTGCTATTTTTAAAGGTGATTTACAGAGAACAAGAAATCTTGAGTATGTGAGTGGACATGAGTGGGAGGAAAAATGTGACAGTTTCCTGACCAATGATTCTTTGTGTTTGCAGGTGTCCAGTGTGAGGTGCAGCTGGTGGAGTCTGGGGGAGGCTTGGTGCAGCCTGGAGGGGCTCTGAAACTCTTGTGTGCAGCCTCTGGATTCACCTTCAGTAGCTATGGCATGAGCTGGGTCCACCAGGCTCCAGGAAAGGGGCTGGAGTTCATTGCAGCAATTAGCAGTGGTGGTAGCACATACTACCTAGACTCTGTGAAGGGCCGATTCACCATCTCCAGAGACTATATCAAGAACAAGCTGTATCTGCAAATGAACAGCCTGAGAGCAAAGGACACCGCCGTGTATTACTGTGCAAGAGACACAGTGAGGAGACTTCAGTGTGAGCCCATAAATCACTCTGCAGTTCTATTTGTCACCAGCAGGGGGAGGTCTGCACACACCGATCTCAGAGTCAGTTTTGTGCAAGGTGCTGCCATGAAAAAAGGGTTTTATGACTGTAAACATAAATTGTTTTTTTATTGTGATTTTCCAAATACATAGGATATATGCTCACATGAACAAAGTGTGGAATGTCACATTTAGGAGCAGAAGTGACTCTGCCTTAGTCAGATCCTGTAATGGCTCAGAGCTCCAGGTTAAGTCATTTTCCATGACAAAGCGTTCTGTGGGATTCCCTTATTAGTACAGACATTAGAATCAGGTTGTCAAAAATAGGATGTCCAGACTTCTCTCAGTGATGCATAAAACCTAACAGGGTTATCCCTTCCCATCCTTATGTGAGGAACTAGGTACAATGCACTCAGAACTGGCCAAGTTATATTATTTAATTCATTTTTCTCACTCAATAATAATCTTTTTTACATATCCTGTTTTCCTTTGTTCATTCAGAAAATAGTATGTGTGACATCTTTTCTCTAAATCCCAGGACAAAGCCTACATCTGGAGTTCAGGTGTGTCTCAGGCTGTGTCTCCTGCAGGCTGGAGGAAAAGCCTGGAGGGATCTCTCAGTCCCCACAGCCCAAAGTCCTCCTGCTGTCCTCTGTGCAAGGACTCTTGCGAGAAATGAACATGGTCATTATTAACCTGTGAAAAAGACTGACAGACAAAATGTAATGTGAACACAGAGCTGACCTTGTTCTGTCCAGTCTTTCCTGGAATCACCTCCTTCCTCTGTGGGTCTGGGGAGTCCTGCAGAATGACTCTGCTGCACCTATACTAGAAGTCCAATCCAGCATGCTGATGGGCATCATGCAGCAGGAGGAGATCACACTGGGCTATTTTGTTAAGGTGATAAGTGTCCATCCCTTAATCACAGCAGCTCATGGGCATAATAGAGAAAAAGAAGGGAGATCAGCAGTCACCCTGAGCAGAAACACCCAGAAGATTTTGTCATCTGCCCTCTTGGAGTCCAGATGGTAGGAGTTATGAGCACTGCAGGGTGTCCTGTGTGTGTATAGGGAGAAAGTCACAGACATGGTCCATCCCACTCATGAAAGCTGCTCATCTCTCATCCCTGCAGACACTAAGTGTGGTCACTCTGAGCCTGTATCCTTCCTCAATGTCAACAACCTGGTTTTTGTGCTGGCCTTGGCTTCCCTTCTCATTATGCTTAATGCAATTTCCATAGTGCGTTAAGTTCAATGTGACAGTTCCTTCTGGCTTCTCTGTGTTTTCAGGTGTCCTTTGTGAAGTTCAGGATTGGGTGTGGGAAGGTGTGAGACATCACTCTTGGTCTGGGTTCCGGTGTTGACTCCATCAGCTCTTGAACCCTAGACACTTTCATGAGCTCATCTAGGGACCAGGCTTACAGCCACTCATGTCTATCCACAGTTCTTCCTTCCCTCTCCTCTTCTCTCAACGGTCCCAGCATCCCAGTGTACTCCCTCAGGGATCAGGTCCTCAACTTCTGTTTCTTTTCAAAATTGACTCCAATCCAATAATGAACCTGTGAAAGGTGTACAATTCTCCTTGTGTTCATTGTGATTGCACCTGCCATTTCCACTTCATGTTCCTTCAGTTCCACCCCTCAGCTGACTTGCCTAGGTGACCTTCATTAAGTTTACACTTTCTTAAGAATTTCTCCCTGTAATCATGATGTTTTTCATTTTCTGTTCAATTTCATTGTATCCCTAATCTATATGAATGCCACTCTGATTCTCTCTCCATATGACTTTTGTCCTCTTGTTATCCATGTCAGTTTTATTTCCTCTAATTCCTATATGTTTTAAACCACACAGTTTGTTACCACATTATTTTCTTATTTTATTCTAGAGATCACCACATCTGCTACCTCAGAGGATTATTCTGTGGAATTTCTATAAAATTAGAGTGTTACTGGGCACTTTGAGGGCCATGAAAACCAGTACTGAGACTCCCTCTTCTGTGCACCCCAGAAGAGGGTGCCTAGCTCTTCCCAAGCAGATCTAGTTCACTGTGTTCTCCCAGGTCCACTTCAGGTTTACACTCACTTGATAATTGTGAATGTGTGGGAAAGCGGCACAGAAGTGACATGGGGCCCTGATATTTTACCTGTCACCTGGGGTGGGCTTTGCTTTTGCTTTTCCCACTTCTTCAGTACCACAGCTGCAAGGGTTTCCACAGTGCTCTCAGTTTCCTGGTGTGCTGTCCTGATTGAAGGTGAAGCACTTTCTATTTAGGAACAGAGGAGAAGTGTCTTTGGGGAGAGTTCCATCTCTTCCCACTGTGTCCCCACAAGACCTCTGTTCTCCCTCAGGCCCGTGTTGCTGTCCCTGAAGTCTCATCCCTGCAGATTATGTAGTTCTGTCATGGTGATGAGCTGGTGAGTATTGCACAGTAGGGTAAAGGTGCATGTACTTTCCTTGGGGCAGAACCACTGAGGTTAGTGGAGAACTGGAATAAACTGTAAATCAGGAAATAAATCTTTGAATTGAAGTGGAACCTCACTGATGTAATTTTTCTAATCATTTATGAATGTACCATCTTTTAAACTCATGACCTCTGGAGTCCTTGGAATTTTTCTCTTGTAAGGTTGTACTAGCTTGTGACATCTCAATGCCTCTGGTATGTGGGCTCATTCTAGTTACTGAGTCTCTCTCTAAGCATTGTCTGCACCCAGAGGAAGGTTAGTAATCTGCCTACAATTTTTTATCTCTGATGTTTTGAGGATAATATATCAATAATCAGTGTTTCCTGCTTTGTTTGTTGCTTTATGAATGAGAGCAGTTGGGTTCTCACATGCTCACATTCATAAGCTCAGTTGTAGCTTCAATTGTAGAGTCAGAACCTGAGAATAATGCAATACCCATAAGCAATTCAACATGTAAACAACTTGTATCTAATTAAATCATAAAATATCAGCCATCATTAACACACTAAGTGCCTGAGCACAGTGGCATTCATGATTAATCACGCCCAGTGACAGGCCAAAGAGAAGTGCATAATGCATGGCTCAACTCCTGCACTAGAGGACCAAGGGAGGTCAATATCAGGAACTGCTTGGGAACTTGGCAGGTGAGGAGCTCAGGAGGGAATAAGGACAGATGAGTAAAGGTAAAATTGCAGAGTCATGGGTGTGCTCACTGTACTCCTTGTGGAAGGCTACCCAGGTGTGCATGGCATCATTGTTTAGGAAATGCTGAGACTACAGTGAGGATTATCTCACGTCAGACCCCATGAGTACTCTGACTTCATACTCTTCATACCCTTATAAATATCTTGAGAATTGGAGGTGGTCACTATTCCTTCCTTCCACCATGTGACACAGTGCTTATCTCCCTCAACATATGAGAATGTGACAGTAAGATGTCACCTTGGAAGGGAGAAACAAGTCTTTCCAGATTCACCACCAGAACTTTGTTCTAGGACTTCCTGATCTCCTGAATTGTGAGCAGTAGATGTCTATGATTTTAAAACTACAAGGGTTGTTGTATTTTCTCACAGAAGGACAAACAGGCAAAGATATGTATGGTAGCAGGGTGGTGATGCTGCCTTAAGAAACACCTGGAGATATGTACTCAGCATTGGAGCTGAAAAATGGGCAGAGAGTGAAAGGGATTGGAGGTGTTTGCTAGACAAGCTGGGAGTGTCAAGAGTTGAGAATTCCATGTAAGAATATAGATAAAATATCAATGTTCTCAGACAGAGTCATGTGTCACTGAAAGTGGAGGATATGTTGAGATAATTTTGTCATTGTGTGAGGACATAGAGTGAGCTTACACAAACATAGGCTTCCTGCCTGCTGAAAACATAGGCAGTAGTCTAACCTATTGTTCCTACTCTACAGACCTGAACAACAGTTGACTTACTTAAGTAAATCTAGAAGAAATTGAATTACAATGGCAAATTTATGTATTAAAATATCTAATCTAACAGGTACATTAAAAATAATATGCAAAATGTAGCGTGGAACTCACGTCTCACAAATGTAATCCTAACATCTGGGCTTAGGAAACCCCCATCCAAATCAATAGCAGGGCACAGTGGAGGATGCATGTCATCCCAAGCTATGCTGGAGACTGAGTTCAAGAGGGTCATTTGGAGGCCAACCAGGCATGATCCTTAAGTCCTAATTTGATAAAAAAATAAGAAGCCTGTTGGCACATGTCTGTCACCTCAGTGAGATTACTATGTCTGTAATAGGAGGATCACAATGTAGACAAGCCTAGGAAAAAAGCAAATATAAGTGGAGGCACAGCTCAAACTATGAGTGCTTGCCTATAAAGTGCAAAACTTTGAATTGAAACCTTAGTACCATCACCATCATCATTATCATCATCATCATCATCATCATCATCATCATCATCATAATTAAAAGGTAAAATCATCCACAACAATAGGCATAGAGTAGTTAAATTTTGTTTTTAGAACAAACTACTTGAGATCAGGAAACTTTACAACAAGAAAAAATGTATTCCTCCCACATTTCTGTAGATGCAATATGTGGCACAGTGTTATCTTATAGAGATGGCTACTTGATAGTAGGACTGTGTCAACAAGAATGATGACACAGTGAGACAAGATGCAGGCAGTCAACCTGATTCAGGTGATTCTTGCATAAACTCACTCTCATGAAACTTAAACGCATTCCACAAGGAATACTTCAATACATCCTACACCAGGCCCAGAACAGTGGAGTTCCCTGTGGCCCAGCCTATAAAATACCCCAAATCTACACAAGCACACTGAGAACATGACTACAGCACATGGCCCCAGGGGGACAATCCACAGGCAAACATGTCAGGCACTTACCATGTATGGAGCCTGCAGGACTGGAGTTGGTCAGGTAGTCAGTGAGTTGAGATGGATGGGAGGTGAGGACACCTCAGTGCTCACTGTAGACTTCATGTGCACTTTACACTCAGTGCAATAACTTTATACAACTTAATGTATTTCTTGAAAAATAAATTAATTTTAATGTATTCTTTCAATATGTTAATTAATAAGGAAACCAACATTGACATGAGCCTGGTTCTGCACAGTTCAGGACTACCAGAATCACTGCCCCCACCTCCATGCCTCAAGTAATGGAAAGTGTTCAGTGGCAATAACATACAAGCAATTTTCACCTCCTGGATAGCAGTGCCTTCACGGAACCCCAAGACCAGCTCAGGCTTTACTTGAGGATGTATCACACTTTCAGAGACATGTCATGAATGTTTGCTTGGTGTGTTTCTTTTCAATCATGTAATGGATTAAAGCACACATTGCAACATGATTGTTTCTGTGTACTAATGAATACATGTCATCATTGGATGCCATTTGTGAAAGCAGTGAGAGGAGATTGTTGAGGTCTGCAGAAACATCTGTTAACCCCACCGTGAGTTTCCTTGTAGGACATTTGCTCATTTATCTACTGCCGTTTCATCTTCTTCTGACTTTCTTCACCTCTCCCATTCTGTTCTCTTGCAACAACCAGTCAGTTGTTCCTCAGGATCCTCCTATAGTAGGTACTACCTGTATTCTTTACACACAGCACTTGGAGATACTGGACAGCTCAAGCACAGAGGAATAAATCAAGCTGAAGAGAACATAGTGCACTCTGAATGAGATTAAGAGATGCCATACGATAAACACATGGCTCTGCACCATGGGCACACCACCAAGCAAGC